CACTGGAACCCCGGTCACCACCGCCACCGCGCGGGGAAAAGTGCCGGTGCGGCAAGAAAAGAAAAGAGTTCCTTACGGATCTGAACAGAGAAGGGGTTCACTAACCCTAAACCCGTAAAAGCCTTCAACGGGAAGAGAAACAGTAGAAGGAAGAAGAAGAGTGGATTCGGATTTGGCCGAACCCTAAGACCTAACCCTAATTTTAACCCCATCCCAAATCGGGTTGATCCCAAAAGAAGAAGGGGAAGGGGGAAGAAGGGGAAGGAATCAGTCTCGGGGAAGAACAGTGAACCCTAGCATCTCGATCTCGAATCAAAACAAATCGGGTTCAACCGAACCCAAACTCTAACTCGCATGGAGAAAGGGAAAAGGGGAAAGCCATTCGGATGAACTCCGAAAAGAAAAAGAAATCAAAAGAAAAGTGCAAATCTCGAAACCCTAACCCCAATCGGTTGAATCCGTAGAAAGAAGTAGATTCAAAAGAAAAGAAAGGGAAGAGGGGATAATCTCGCTGATCTCGAATCAAACCAAAAGAAAACACGAATCGGGTTCAACCGAACCCTAACCCTAGATCTCCTTTTCGGGTGAACAAGCGAAAAGAAAAGAAAGCAGATACAACTCAAATCGGAGAAGGGGAAAAGGAGACAAACCCCGCCATGCGTCGGGATGGCCCTTCGCTTAAGACGGGAGAAGAAGGGCCGCTGGGGGGCATTTGCACTGGCTTTCTCGGCAAAGGCGCCATGCAGCAAGGTTGCTGACGGGCGGCGTGCTCACCCGTTGGGGAGCACGCGCGCCAGCGAGGGGGCCGGCGACGGCGTCATGGATCGCCCGCTCCACCGCCTTTGAGTCGCTCTCAGTTGCGCTCGCCTCGCTGCTGTGTGAGGAGAGAAGAGAGAGCGAAGAGAGAGAAAGCAAAGAATCGAATGGCCTCTAGGGTTTGAGGACCACGGCCGGAGAAGGCTTTTATTCAGAACAGAGTAGTGTGTTGTATCTGTTAAATCTATCGGCAATGGACCGTGACGATGAGACATGCTCTATGCGCTAATCTGTAATGGAGTGAACAAAAGTAAATGATATGAAATTGAAAGATGATAGTGAGATCAAGGGGGAGAATGTTAGTTGATCTCTACCAATAGGCCCAACGGCCTATTGGGCCCTTGTCTTTGCTCCCTGATCGGGGGAGCCCAACCCTAATACGGTTGGTGGGCCCCTGTTGCACAGCACATATAAAAGGTAAGGTGAGGATCAGGGCTCGGGCTACGAGGTTGAACGGAGCCGCCGCCATCCCACCCACAGTAAACCTAAACCGATCAAAGTAGTGCTGCCAGCGACGGGAAGCTCCACCACACCACTGCCTCGCCTCTGCAGCCCACGGGATCACCATTGGACCTCGCCACCGAGTCGGAGCTGCCTCAACACCGGCGTCCACGAGGTTGCAGCGCAACCAAGGTGAAATAGATGAACCCTAAAGAGATCTACTCTGATCTACGGTTACACAAAGGTACACCCACGATTCTAACAATGGGTTGTGTTTTTCCGATTGGAAGTTGGAGTACTCAATCGACCGCGACCCTCTCGTTCATATAGAGGGGTAGTCTTACCCCAGTAGAAAACAAGTCCAAATCTCTAAGTTTCCTACGTCGAAAATAGATCCAAAACTGAATTGAAAACCAACTCAGCTCAGAATAGTCAGGGAAACCAGCCTGGCCGGTTTCCTTGAGCCTAGGCGCTATGGCCGGCCAGGGCAAACAGCAAAACCGGGCTGGCCGGTTTGAGAATCAACCTAGCCAGTTTTGGGCAGTGAAACCGGCCAGACTGGTTTGGGCAGGGCTAGCCGCCGTCTCCTTCCTCCCTTTTGCTTTGCGCTTCGAATTTTTTTGACCAAATATTCCCCAATATGCTCTCAATACTAGGAACTTGATGGTGTAGCCCAAATTCCATGTTGGCACATTTTTGCATGTCTGCATCTTCTCTGGACTGTGGAGGTTGGAAAATTGTGGATCCTTGTAACGAGGACTTCCGAGTTCATATACAAAATGTGCATTTTGTGTCCGGGGCTAGTTATTAATTAAGCTAAAAATTAATTTAAATTAACTGAGGTTGTCTACCTTTTTTTTTGCGAAGAACTAAGATTGTCTAGATAGTTGGCCAACAACTACTTGAATACTTAGCTAAAATTAATATTTTAAATAGCATGTTGTAGCCTCTCCTATAGCCTCCGGAAAGTCTAGGGGCTAAGCTATTCCACTTTTAGAGCTAAACACTTTTTGTCACTATTAGCTAGATTTAGAGCGATAATTCCGCTAAATAGCACCCCATTTGGCCCACTAATTAGACGGAGGAAACAAGGCTGCGGAATGGTGAGACTTTATTGGCGGCGCAAACAGTGATGAAGATACGACTTGGTAGTTTGATGGTAGTGTGTGGTGTTGGGTTTTGTGGAGTGACGTTGCTTTTAGAGTTTCAGTGCCTTCTTTGTTGTAGGGTAATGGTGTGGTTTTGTTGTGCAGCTCGTACTGATGTGTCAATCTAACCAACTGATGTTGGCTTTGTTGCTTTTAATTATTATTAGTTAGTTTAGTTTTTTTTTATTGTTGTGACCTTTTTTGGTCTCATCGGTCTATTGTATTTCGGTTGTTTTAACTCAGGCTGGGCTCATCTCCTTTTTAATATAATCGATAGCTTCCTACCTGGTTTGTTTAAGGGGGTGTTTGGTTCTACGGACTAAATTTTAGTCTCTGTTCCATCGGATGTTTGACACATGCATGGAGTATTAAATATAGACTAATTACGAAACTAACTGCATAGATTGAGACTAATTTGCGAGATGAATCTTTTAAATCTAATTAGTCCATGGTTTGACAATGTTGTGCTACAGTAAATATGTGCTAATGACAGATTAATTAGTCTTAATAAATTCGTCTCGTAAATTAGTCTCCATCTGTGTAATTAGTTTTATAATTAATTTATGTTTAATCCTCCTAATTAGCTTCCGAACGTCCGATGTGACATGGACTAAATTTTAGTCCGTGAAACCAAATACCCCCTAAGAAAAAAACAAGGTTAGTGAACCAATTGATTAAAGATAACTGTGTATGAACTGACGTGTTTGTGATATATATGTATTGTGTATGAACTGATGTATTCGTGAGACTATAAGTTATTAATTATTAGTTGGTATTTATAATATCCGGTTCATCTTTTAAGTTTATATATATATGTAAAATTCTCTAATGTTTAACATGTTTTTTTCTCATCTCTAAATGGGTTTAGTTCGCCGTAGCTTTCGTAGCCTCTAGAAAATCTAGTCGCTAAAGATCATAGCGCGCTATTTTAAAAACTGGCTGAAATATTAGTTCACCTATTAATCTTTCTATTTGGATGCCCTAGGTTTAATATTAGCTATTTTTTAACTAGCTAATAATTAGCTCTTCTATCAAACAGATTAATGTCTTTTTTCGAAACGAAATCAGTCGTATTAAAAAAAGTAAGCCTAAATAGGCGCCGTACAAGATTTAAGAAACTGTATATGATGTCATAAAAGAAGAGAGGCCGAGCGTAGATGGGTTAAGAGCTATGTATGAGCGTAGATAAATGTTTTGCTCCTGTCAATCTTCAAAGTGCTGCCTCCTCTTTGATCTTATGTAAGATTTGATGATTTAGAGTCATTTTGTGCTCGAAAATCCTTTGAGTTTCTTTCCACAACTTCCAGCATATTAAAATGATGATATTGTAGCCCATCTAATGTATAGGAGAACCCCACTATCATATTTTTCTACAATTTCATGAAGCCACGTCATCCCATAAGCCGCATCAAGTCACTAAATTGCTACGTACTACTAAAGGTCTTCAAGAAATAAAGAGAGAACGAAAAACTCCCACCAAGTAAATTTTTACTCGGCAATTGATGCAGATCATCATGAACTGCCAAGGAACCGAGGGGTCACTGATAGTATTTATTATATCGTCGCTTCGTTGAGCAGATGGAAACATGGCATCGAAGTGTGATGGATCTTCGTCTGCAACAATGACACCACCTTCTATCCGTGCTGCGTCGGTCGGTTCATCGGGGTCTCGGCCATGGCCTCGCGCGCGTGTTTCGTGCACGTGTACATGTTGCGGCTGCTCCTCCCCCTGTGCTCGCTGTTCGCTGCCACGAAGCACGAACCTGCTCCGGCGGGTGGCCGAGCGCCCGAGCAGATGTGGATCTCTCTGTCATCTTCCTGTCGGCAACAGCGCTACTCCATGCTCGCTGCGTCACCACGCCAGCCGGCGGCCGTGGCGCCGGGCCCGTGGTTCCTTACACCCAGCTGCCCAGGCCGGCAGGCCCAGCAGAGGCATTCAACTATTCAAGTCTTCAGGGGTATGATACATCATGTTCATTTTCCATTCGTCATTGTTTGGATCAATAATACATATATATTTCAGTATATAGGGTACCAAATCGAATCCAAGATTAATTCCCATATTTTATTTTTTACTGTTCCATCAAAATATACTAAATCATCCTATCAATTGCCTGTAGGTCTGCCATTGTCAAAAGAAAAGAAAAATGCTTGCTGTAGTTACATGCACAGAAACATTATTGTAGTCCACTGCACACCATGGTGGGACTAGGGATGAAAACGGTCGAAAAATCCCTCAACCGTTTTCTACATTTATATTTGAACACGAAAACGAAAACGAAAACGGTAAAGTCGGACACGAAAACGAACACAAACTTACGGAATATCGAAAACAAACCAATTCGAGCAGAATTATGTCGAACACGGTGGGTATACGAAAATTCAATACGGAATACCGACCCGTAGAGTCCATAACAATTAACAAGTGCATGACCCAAGCTCATAACAATTACCAAGTGCATGATCAAGTTCAAGCGCATATAATAATTAACAAGTGCATGACCCTTGGTCTTAAGTATTAACACAATAGCTGACAGCTTGACACACAAATACAAGTCTAGAACAAGCAATTAACACTAACAGATAACAAAACATCTACAGTTCATCAGCATCATCCATGAGGTCAGGATCACTTTCCATGTCTTTTGCTTCCTCATTGTCCTCATCCCCCTCCTTGTCCTTTTCCTACAAGTTTGCAAAGTGAATTCAAATTAGATGTAGCAACTAGCATATTTCAGAGCAAGCAGTCAATAAACATACCTTAATTTTCAGTTTAGCCACAACATTAGCCAAAGCCTCAACCTCAAGATCACTCACAATTGATCCAACCATTTTAGAATCTGAACAAAAAATGAGAAAGGAAAATAACCAATGCATTATTCTACTGCAACTATAAGTGTGTCTAACTAAAAAACAGATAAAATGAGCACCTTTTCTTGCTGCAGTAACCCAATTCTTTGTGCAAATTAATGCCTGTATCATCTCAGGATCAAGACGATTACGATAGGGATCAACAACACGACCAGCAGCACTAAAAGCAGACTCAGATGCTACTGTTGATACCTGTATGGCCATTACATCCCGAACAATTTGCGAAAGGATAGGATATTGTTCTCTCTTGTTTTTCCACCATGCTAAGATGTCAAACTCACCAACAATTTTCAGAAGTGGTTCTGTAATATACCTCTCCAACTCATTTGACTCAACCATAGCAGGTTCACTTGCATCATATAAGAATTCTTCTAGGTCATGGTCTACATTTCCCATTAATATATCAGCTGTGTTACTAGGTCCAGGCAGCCCCTTTACTATTTTTCTTTGATGATGCAGGAGCAGAATTAACATAAAAGTTGTATAGTTTCTTTACCGCAGTAACAAACTCATCAAGTTCAACTTGATAATGATCACCATAGAACTTTATGTAGTACTCTATCAGCCTTTTCTTATACCTAGGATCAAGAAAACAGGCTACAACTAGAGCAATATTGGACTGCTGCCAATATTTGTCAAATTTGTCATTCATAGCAATTGTCATATCTCTAATTGTAGCATCTCCACTACAGCCCCAGTCGTCAAGCAAGAGCTTTATATCACATAAACCTCTATAAAATAAGTTTACAGTATGATATGAAGTGCCAGATAGAATTTCAGTGAGATCATAAAATTTCTTCAAGCAACCATAAATTATCAATGCATTGTCCCATTCAGCAGAAGATGGAGAAATCTTGACATACCTACGGCAATTTGAAGACTTCAGCCTAATAAATGCATCCTTATAGTACAAGGTATCTCTCAGCATTAGATAGGTAGAATTCCACATAGTTGAAACATCCATCGAGATACCCCTTTTTGTATCCAACCCAGCTTCTATGGCACGCATCATAAGCTCTTCCCACTGCAATGGAGACCCTTTCACAGCTAGTACAAGTGATTTGACCTTGCTGATTGTTTCGGAAATGACTTTCAACCCATCTCTAGCAACCAAATTGAGAATATGGCAGGCACATCGAACATGAAAAACATCCCATCACAAACTAGGGAACTATTAGCATTCTCTTTCAGATCTAAAATTATATCGTTGACAGCCACTTCATTTGAACTAGCATTATCCAAAGTCAAAGCAAACAGTCTATTTTCAATGTATCATTTAACCATAACTTTAGTGAATGACTCAGACAACTTTGCACCAGTATGCCTTCCTTTTACATTGAAGAAACCAATAATTCTCTTTTGCATACGCCAATTATCATCTATCCAATGAATAGTAACACACATGTATCCTTCATTTTGGCATGAGATCCACATATCCATTGTTACACTAAAGCGGCACTTGATAGTTTTTAAGTGTGCATATAAAACTTTCTTTTCTTCAAGATATTTGTCCATCATTTCTTTCCTAACAGTGACACGGGACTTTATTGGAAAGCTAGGACGGAGAGATTTTATGAAATCAACAAGATACTCATGCTCAACTATATTGAAAGGATACTCATGCATGGTTATTGTCAAATTCAATTTCTTCAAGCTAGCTTCTTGGTCATATTTGATAGACTGAACATGAGCATTTTCACTACCAGGGTTCTTACCAACTTTAAGCTGTTGTTGTTCCTCCACAATACTGTGCTTTGACTTCAAATGGTTCTTGAATGCAGTCATCCCACATACGCCCTCAGCTCTGTATCTCTGATTGCAGTTAGCGAAATTGCAGTATCCCCACAGCTGCTCAAATTGCTTTCCCTCCACCTCTGAAACCTCCTTTTTCTTGGTGAAATACTTCCAGACAGACGATGTGCATTTCTTGAACCTCTTGCCAGAAAGGTGAGCCTGCTCATCATCATCATCGACATTAATTGGAGTTGTGGTCGCTGGAGTTGTGGTTGTTGCTGGGGCGCCACTGCCACTGCAATTGGTGTCAACATTTGGAGCAGAAGAACCCATCACTGATGCTGCTACTGATACTGCTGTAGCTGGACTTTCACAAGTTCCACTAGAGCTAATACTTTGAGATGAAGGCCTTTTACTCCTTGATCCTACCAAGAGCCAAGTGAAACATTGCTAAATCAGTGCATGCCGGTCCCAAATAATCAAGCAAAAGGTCCCAAATAGCCAAGCTTCATCAATAGCAAAAGCAATAATCAAGCAATCGGTCCCAAATTAGTACCTGCTGCTAGAGAAGCCGTTGCTGCCAGTGACGATGCCGCTGTCGATGCTGCCAGCGGCGCTAGAAGGTGGTGCACACTCTTAGTCTTGATCTTGCCTTTGCCCTTCAATCCAGGAGCAGAACCACCTTCTCCAGTGGGGGCCATCGATGGGCGGGGATGGCGGCGCTGCCTCGTGGCTGGGTGGTGGCCGGCGGCTCTGGCGAGGTGGGGAACTGGGGATTCGGGACACTGGCGGGTGGCGGGGTTGGATGGAGGCGCGACCTCGTGGCTGGGTGGCGGCCAGCGGCTCTGGCGGGGTGGGGAACTGGGGATTGGGGAGTGGGGACGCTGGCGGTCGGCGGGGTTGGATGGAGGCGCGGCCGGTAGGGTTGGATGGAGGCACGACCGGCGTGGAGGCTGGAGTCGGAGTTGCCGCTAGGGGCGTTGCCAGGGAGGGAGCGACGGACAGGGAGGAGACGGGCACGGTCTCACGGTCATGGGACTATGGGAGTCTCTAGTCTCCACTTAGGGTTGTCAGACTTGTTATTGGGCTAGACGCCTGGGCCCAAGAAGGGAAGCTTTGAAGATTGCTACTGCCGTTTATGTTTAGTACCACCTCGCGAGGTGATGCTTTGACGAGGCTGGGCGTCGCCTATTTGAGAGGGTAGCTGTCCACTGAACCACGCACCGTAGTGGACTAAATTCGGATTAAACCGAATTCGAATTCGGGATATTCCGAATTAAAAGTAGAAAAGTAGAAATCGGTCGGAAAAAGTCCAAACCAATTTCGTTCCGATTTCGAATTTGGTGTTCCGTATTTCGAACCGAATTCGAATTTGTCCGAAAATACGAATTCGGTCGGGTCAAATGTAGAAAACGATGCAGTTCGGTTCGGGATATTTTCGTACCGTTTTTATCCCTAGGTGGTACGCTGGTGTTGATGGTGGAACCATGTGCACGGTCCAACTGACGAACTCGGCATAGCGCCAGGACAAACCATGCATAGGAAGAAGACGTGACTACAACCCGTGTCGGTAGTCTCCTATATACTTAGGGGGTGTTTGGTTCCTCCTAAACTTTAGTCGCTGTCTCATCGGATGTTTGGACACATGCATGGAGTATTAAATATAGACTAATTACGAAACTAATTGCACAGTTTACGACTAATTTGCGAGACGAATCTTTTAAGCCTAATTAGTCCATGATTTGACAATGTGATACTACCGTAAATATATGCTAATGAAGGATTAACTAGGCTTAATAAATCCATCTCGTGGAGTACTGACGGATTATGTAATTTGTTTTTATTAGTATTTGAACACCCCATGCGACACCCTCACGTGACATCTTCTAAATTTTAGGCCCCATTTGGCAGAGCTTCACTTCACTAGTGAAGCCATTTTTTTAGCTTCAGCTCCACGAACAGCTCCACCAGTGGAGCTGAAGCGGTTTTGGTAAACCATTTGGCAAAATGACTTCCCTGTGAGAGCATGTTTTTAGGGGCTTCACTAGTGAAACTATTTCACTTTATCCCGTTTGGCAGAAAACAGCTCCAAACGGCTCCTGAAACCGGTGGAGAAGCCCTGCCAAACGGGGCCTTAGTCACGGGATCAAACACCCCCTTCCTCTTTGGTTTATTCATTCATTGCTCTAAAAAATGGATCTAATTCCGACAGCAGTGCATAGGTAATTCTTTTTATATATCATAAAAATAGATTTCATCCTATTGATGATTCTAATTAAAATAATATTACTCATTTTAGATTTCACTATTTCTCACTCCATTATTATTTTTTATTTTAATACTAAATTCCCGCGACAGCACGCGGGCATCATCAGATTGTGGGGTGCGGGCCTTAGTCAACGAATCTAAAATGGGGCTCGATAGAAAATGTGCATAGGAAAGTGAAAGTATATGTATAAAGTTTTTCATTCAGAGAGAAAACGGAAATAGGAACATTGCATTATCCGAACAGCCGCGAGCCCGCAAGGAGTCCATTGCCCACAGAATCTGGTCAAGTGACGCGAGCGGAGGATCTGTCTAGCAGCCTCAAATTCTCCGCCCGTCAGTCAGCACAAAGCAGCACGTCCAGCGCCCGTCGACCCCAAGAACCTCAGAGAATCGCCCGTCGCCACACCGCGCCGGGGCCAAGAAATGCTCCTCCTGCTCCTCTTCGCTGTCCTCGCCGCCGTCGCTGCCTTCCTCCTCTTCAAGTTCGCCACCGTCGTCGATGGTATTACCCCAATTTCATTCCTCAATCCAACCCTGCTCCCGTAACATTCGTATCTCTCTCTTTCCATTCTTGCTTTCGCCCCTGTTGGGTTGGAGAGATTGGGACTGACCCCCCTTGTTCTTTGATGGCTGCAGGGGACTTGACGCTCGTGTCCCGCGGCCCGCCGCGGCGGGAGAGGGTGGACGGCAAGGTGGGTTCTTGGATCGTCCGGCTAATTTTGTGTGCTGCGGTCGTGTTCGATCTCAGATTCCTTCCCCATATTGATTCCGTTGTTTTGCTCTTGGTTTCTTGGTTGTCCTGCAGGTCGTGTGGATTACTGGAGCTAGCCGCGGGATTGGTCAGCGTGCCTCATCAGCTCTTTAATTTGTCAATTTTAGTACCGACTGTTGGGTTTAGCTATGAGCTGCTAGGTTGTTGGTATCATGTGGAGTTGTAGGTCTACCTTCTACCGTGGAATCATGGAATTTGATTGAATTGAGCCGGTGTTCATTACTCCACTTAACTAGGCGGACTGCTAATGCTTTGGCAAAATTGTCGAAAATGCGTGTCCTTTGATAGAAGGATAATAATTAATTAATTAATCAAACAGCTCTAGTTTGCAATTCTATTGCTATGCCAACTGCACATTTAGGAGTTAAGTTAGATAAATAATTTGAATAAAATGGGTTTTCTTTTCAGTATCTGTACAAGTTCAGCTACACATTAATGCTTATCTTTAAGCATGTGAGGAGGTGATAAATTTCCTCACTGTAGTTTTGTTTTTTAGTGAGCCTTATACCTTTGTTAGTTCATTGAGGAATGGTATAGTTACAATTTTATGCCTGGTTATAGACTTCATGCTTCACAATATTAACTTTCCCACTTTCCCTATACCTTCCTCAAGCTTGATGTACAACAAAGGTTTCATAGGATCATTGTCAATTTTGATGAGTTAACATGCTGTTTTCTCGACAAATGCGTCTTTTTACATCAATTTCAGCATAGTACTTCACCATAACAAGTTATTAATGCTTTCTTGTAATTTCAGGGGAGGTTCTTGCAATGCGATTTGCAAATTTAGGAGCAAAGCTGATACTATCTGCACGTAACAAGGACGAGCTTGAGAGAGTGAAAAAAAACATCCTCAGTAAGTTTGCAAGATATCTCTGGTGTTTCTAAAATAAAGTTTTCCCTTAGTGGAGAAATCGAAGACTGAAGATCTGAACCAAGTTTGATTTACTTTTCAAAGGCAAGAATCCAGATAGCAGAGTTGAAGTGTTACCCATGGATTTATCAGCTGGTGAAAAATCTCTGAAAGAAGTCGTACATGTGGCAGAATCATTTTTTTCTAATGCAGGCGTTGACTATATGATCCATAATGCAGCCTTCGAACGTCCTGTAAATACCACCCTTACTTTGAGTTAATGTTTTGATTCCCTTATCCTTTGAACATCATGTTGTTTTATTTTACTAGTTTTCGATGATAGATCTGCTAGATATCCCTCCTTTTTAGTCTTAATTGTATATTTGTATTATAATCAGTTGATTCCTAAATGCATCAATTTTCAATCAAATTGCAGAAACGGGGGGCTCTGGAAGAAAGTGAGCAAGGTCTTAAGGTACATGAATAGTATTTGTTTTCTTCTGCATAACTTATCTGCAACCTAATACAAATCTGTGTTGCTAGACAGGCTACTTTGAATGTCAATGTCTTTGGAACTATTACTTTAACTCGCCTTCTAGCACCTTACATGCTGGATAGAGGGATGGGCCATTTTGTTGTGGTACGTATGAACCAACTCTCAGCAGGAACTTGTGGTCATCAGAGTTTCATTTTCGCTATTAGTGTGGCTAACTCATATACAGATGAGCAGTGCTGCTGGAAAGGTTCCTGCTCCTGGTCAGGCCATTTACTCTGCCTCCAAACATGCTCTTAATGGATACTTTGCTTCTCTGCGATCTGAGGTACCAAAAATTCACATATTAGCATGCACTCTAATTGTAAATTGTATCATCATGCTAAGCTACTCACTTATGTTATGAAAAGTATTCATGGATGACACTTCCATTCACCGTCATGTTTTTTTGGTAACAAAAAAAAATAGAGGTTCAATGGTTCTCAGTAGTTAATTGGTTATTTTCTTGTGTGTTTTCTTTGTTTTCCGCAGAAAGTATGCACAACCTATTGATGTTTACATAGTGTGCCTTAATACGTTGTATGTTGCAGTTGTGTACAAAAGGCATTAAGGTCACTGTTGTCTGCCCCGGACCGATTGAAACACCACAATCTTCTGCTGCAGCCTCTCAAGTACAAATGCATTCTGCTGAGGTTATCCCTGGCTTCTCTTATTTAGTCTTGGCCTGTTTGGATCCCATGAATTGTAACCAATGTCTAGAAAGTGCTTCTCATTTCATTATTAGATTACTTTCCAATTCCTAGGAACCAAACAGGGCCTACAGATAATAAAAAGTTTGATCATTAGAGTAAGACATGGAAAATTCACCTTCTCAGTCCGTAGTACTCATGTTCTTTAGTCGCCATGCAATTCAATGTATGATTTTTTTTTTGTATCCAAATAAAAGCATTTAGTGCCCAATATTTTTGTTGCTACCTCTGATAACACAGTGTGCTGAGGTCCTAACATCATGGATCCATGTGGTTGCCCAGCAGTTAAAACTTAAAATTTGGTACCCAGTCCCCTTTTCTCATCATTGTCTTCCTCAATGCAGAAACGTGAGAAACGTGTTTCGGTGGAAAGGTGTGTTGAACTGACAATTGTTGCTGCTACTCATGGACTGAAAGAAGCATGGATATCATATCAGGTATATTTCATTTTGAACATTGCATCGTAGTTGCGAAGCTTGAAGTCTTTTAATTTTCTTTTTGCCATACATATTCTGTGGCTTCTATGATCTCATCATGCAATAGTGAAATCCATTATCATTTAGTAA